TGTCCTTCCTTATACTAGGTTGGGGTTTGGATTTTATTTTTCTAGGACCTTGAGGTAATTGTTAGGTTATTTATTTGGGCTTGTGTTGTTTTTGTGATGTGGGCATTCACAGCTATAAACTTTCATCTTATGTCTGCTTTCATTGTGTTCCATAAGTTCTGTTATATTGTATTGGCACTATAACAAGTTTTTGTAAAACAATATGCCAGGTTAACTGACAGCAGCTTCATAATATATTTTGTGTTTACTGTGTTTCTTGACTGAATCATTTTCTTGTGTGCTCGATTCTCATGTTTTCTCCATCACAGCCTCTAAGCAGTATGTTATGCCATCTCATACACTATCTAGCCCAGGTAGGTAACAGGCTATATCATCTAGGTTTGTGTAAGCACACTCTATGGTGTGGACACAACAAAACTGCCTAACGACTTATTTCTCAACCTATCCCTGTTAAGCAAGGTGTGACTGCACATTCTTAAAACAAATGTATAAATGCTTGCTGATCGCTTCTCAGCCTTTTGGCTAAGATCAAGTGTAAATGCTTGCTGAACTCAACTACGGACCAATTCAACATATTTTTCAAATTTATATTCTTAATTCCTTCATTGACTGTATCCAGGCAAATTTATTTCAGTCAGGACAGGAACAAGTTTAAATCCACAAGAAGAAATTAGTGGACTTCAGATCAAATAAGCCACATGAGCCCCAGATAGCAAAAACACAACTTTAATAATTTGAAATTTAGTTTTAAGCTTGCTTACTCAGTATTAATAAATCTTAACTGTAAGACAGGATCTTGCTAAGTTATCCAGGCTGGGCTCAAACTTGTGATCTTCCTATCTCAGCCTCCCAAATAGCTGTGGTCACAGACGTGCACCAGCACTCCTGAGGTGAATCTTAATGTTGCCCCCCCTTTTTTCACTTATGCTACAAAAATAATGAGAAGTCACTTGGTTAATGATCTCAACACCAAACTTTCAGCCCTCTGACTATACATACATACATGCTTAGAAAATGAGGCAATATTTAGAATTCAGTAAGTGATGAACACACATAAACAGATAAGGACAATTTGTATCTCAATCCACATACAATGGACCCCTGATTCACAAACTCAATCAGTTCCCAAGATCTGGTTGTAACTCAAGTTGGCTGTAAGTCAATACAGCTGTGATCTGGATGTTTACCTGGGTACGTGCTATAGATAAAAAGAGGCAAATGAATCTTCCATTAACCTAATTAACCCAAGTTGTTCGCATGTCAGGTGGGTCGTAACTTGAGGGTCCACCATAAAAGTACAAATCTTAGATTTTCAAGCTGGATATGGTGACACACTCCCAGAAGTCCAAGCTGCTTAGTGGGCTGAGATGTGAGGATCACTGAGCACGCAGGTTTGAGATAAGCCTAGGGCAACATGGGGAAACCTTGTCTCAAAAAAATTTTTTAGCCTGGGATTTAGCTCAGTGGTTCTGCCACCTGCCTCGCAAGCACAAGGACCCGAGTTCGATCCCAGTAACCCCCCCAAAATTTTTTTTTAAATCTTATATTTGCAATAAAGACTTAACTAGATAGAAAAGATTACAGGATATAAATCTCATTACCCTGATATATTTCTCACAATAATCCCATTCCACCAATAACAGATCAGCCAGAGACATTTGCTGCACTTAATTAAAAGCCATTTATTTTTCATACATACTAACTCATATCACATCAAAAATTTTATATATACATACAAAATTTAAAGACATAAACATTTAAACACATAAAATTTGCACTTATAAATGAAGCAACTAGTGTTGCTTTTACAACACTTTCCACCCAAAATATGAAAAGAGCATTTTGGTCCCATGGCTTAGAGGAATAAGACAGTGACAGAATTAGAAAATGAACAAATAGAGCTTTTCATCAAGAATATTAAAATGGCAATGTTCAGGCATGGCAGGCTCTTGACCAAGTATTGGACTGCAGTATAGAAATAAATAAGAGCACTACAATAATCTCAGCTCCAGCAGGCCTTTGCCACTTACAGAAACCAACACTTGGCCCCCAAACATTGGTAGAAAGCATAACATACACATCCCAGCAATTAGCAACCTGAGGAAAAGGAAGTCAATTTTCCTGCTATTTGGCAATTATTTGGCAACTGGATGGATGAATTTGCATTTTGGGATTGTATAGGGTTTCATGTCCTATGGAGTAGACAGAGAGGAGGAGGAACAAGTCTTCCCTCACATATGATTTCAGGAGTCTGAGAAAGGAATATTCACTGCAAGTCTAGAACAGATGTGAACAGGTAGACTCTCAGACTTCCTCACTGTATGCACCATGAAGAATTCACATATGTGCGGTCTATCCAGTGGCTTGAGGAAGGCCCAGCTACCATGATTCCACCCAAGTCTTAAAGACCAATACCATGGTCTTGTAAAGCTGGGGAGAGGCATGAAATGATGTTCTTCTGAGGGCAATATGCAAAAGCCAGGGAACCAAAGCTAAGTTAGAGCTGTGAAAAGCTCAAGACAGGACAGCTGCCTGCACACAGGGATGACAGAGATCAAAGGGGGATCAGTCCATACTTCGCAGAACCAGTCAGAGACAAAAGGTGACAGGCAAAAAATCCACAAACTACTCTAACTCATTCAACAATGTTCTTGAGTTTCTGCTCTGTGCTAATACTGTGCCAGACACCTCGGATACAAACATGAATAAAAAATGTTCTTCCCTCAAGGAGCTCACAGTGGCTAGGCACGGTACCGCATGCCTATAATCCCAGCTACTCGGGAGCTGAGGCAGAAGAAGTGCAAGTCTGAGGCCAACCTGGGCAGCCTACTAGTGACTCAGTGAGGCCCTGTCTCAGAAAAAAGACTGGTAAAGTAGCTCTTTACCAAATCTGCCAAGGCTCTGAGGTCAATCTCCAGTATACTGAAAAGTGGACAACATAATCCAAGGTGAATTGGAAGTCTTCTGCCAAAAATATAACCTCCTCTTTCCACAAGAACTCCAGAAAAATCCACCCAGAGATAAGTTTTCATTAGCAAGTACAAAAAAACAAAAACAAAAACAAAAAAACTAGAAAGGCTGTCCTTCACATCACAGTAAATTAGCTTAATAAGCCTACTTTTCTAACACTTAGCTGAAATCAGCCAGATGAAAATAGGATTTGTAAGAGGCAAAGAAAAGAAATGAAAACTCATTTGGAAAATAGAGCACTACTGCCAGAGAGAACAAAGGCCAGGACACTCACAAGAAGGAGAGGAAAAGGGGAGGCACCATCTTCTCTACAGTGAGGCTGAACAGGTTGAGGACTCTGATCTCTAACCCATAACCATTATTCTGCCTCCCTGCAGTGTCTGGGTGATCCAGGTACAGCCAGTGGGGAAGGGGTGGAAGACCTAGGTTTTATTTTTGTTTGGGGGCTTTATTGTTGCTGTCTGTATGTTGGACAGTGAACCCAGGGCTACCATGCTCTAATGTGCAGTGACATCCCCAGCCTCAGAGAAGGAGGTTTTGCTTGGGAGTTGACAGAGGAAGAAGGAAGAAATGGATGAAGGAAGATTCAGTTAAGGAAAAACTTATAAAGAACTAGAAAGACAAGCTCTTATGCACATATGCCAAAAATATTGCTCAGTTATTAATAACTCATCTGTTTTCTTAACTAGCTACTGTTCACATCTCTTTACATGTTCTTCATCTTTAAAACTCAAGTACATTCTTTGTCTTTAAACATGAGATTTTTCTTTTCACTTAGGAGCTGCTGACAATATTAAAAGAAAAAATTTCCAATAGTTTGGGTCACATTTTCAGCAATTTAGTTCCCTTAGACTCTGAGACTCAGAAGTAAAACTGGATTAAATGTAGCCAGTACAAGGTCAAAATCTTCAGGCACAGAAATCCATTAACTTTTTAATACTCTCAGAAGATGGACCTAATTTCAAATGAAAGTTGCCTCCAGAATATATTGGTAAAGCATGTTCTAGACATAATTTGTTATGGCAAACACTCTGTAGAAATTCACACAAAATTCCACTGAACTTTTTAAAAGTAAATTGCCCATGTAACAAAAATTTTTCTTTAGTTTTTGGTACCAGAGATTGAACTCACAACCCTGCACTTGCAAGGCAGGTGTGGTGCCACTGAGCTAAATCCCTGGCCCACAAAAAAAATATATATATATATATTTTTTGGTACTGGGGACCGAACTCGGGTCCTTCCGCTTGCAAGGCAGGCGGCGGAACCACTGAGCTAAATCCCCGGCCATAAAAAATATTTTTGATAGCTATGAATAAATCCTAAAGCATGATTATCTTTGGAAGAAAAACTGTAATCAAATGAAGCACATAGCAATGATGTATGACTTAGGACCTGTAGTTCCGGGTAATCCAACTCTATTAAAGACACTATCCACATTTAATTTGGCCAAGTGTAGTCAACATTGTTGATGCAAAGCCCTATTTAGATGCAACCCAAAATACCAAAGTTAATTTTCTTTATGTATAGTTTTTAATGCAAAGGAAATAAAATTTACTTTCCTTCAAATCATTAAAAAACAAAATTACATTAATGAAGTACTGTAATATGAAAATATTTTCTTCTTTAAACCTTAACTTTTAGTATCTGTAATTTCTTTCATTCATTAAACAGTTTCTTATTCTGATCCAAACAGCATCAATACAAATCAGGTAATAATTAAATTTTCCCAAAGCATCCTTCATTTGTATGAATCCCTAATTGCCCAATTTCATTAATAGTATAGTAGGCAAATGATCAATTACTTTATTTACTAAATCATCCTACTGAACAGATTGAGAAAAATACAAAAGTCTTATAAAAAGGCCCTCCAACTTGGTTCTTAAAAAATTTTAAACATACACTGACTCTCAACCTGCCTAATTCTTTCTCACAAAATAAACTATGATACAGATAAAAGAGAATAACTTTTATTAATTTTCCTACAAATGAAAAAGACTAAGGTGCAAATTATTCACAATTTATAATTACAGGTAAGCCACACAGAAGCAGCTACATTTTTCAAGTTGAGGAATGGTGAGTGGAAATTCTCCTCTAAGGTAAAGCTAAACTGTTTTTTTCTTTTTCTTTTGTTTCTTCTTTTTTGTGTGCTGGAGGTCAAACCCAGGGCATCGCACATGCTAGGCAAACACTCCGCCACTGAGCTACATCCCCAGCACTTAAATACTTTCTCTAGCTCTTTGCTCTCTCCTTCAAAACCTCATCTCGTTTCTGTTGCATCCATTTATAAAGCTGGAAAGATCTCCCCCGAACTGAGAAATCATTTCTCAGCTATCTGAGTAAGGGGTACATCTCTGAAACTGCAAATAGAAACCAGGTGTCCAAAAAAATTGGCGGGTAGTACTTACTGTAATTACCCTGCATAGACATTTTTTTTTTGGTACCAGGGATTGAACTCGGGATCTTGAGCTTGCACAGCAGGCACCGGAACCACTGAGCTAAATCCCCGGGCCTACATAGACTTTTTGATGATAAAATTTGTCTTATGTAGAATAAAATAGCTTTTCTATTGTATTAACTACTTTAAAAATAATGTAAATAA